GCGTGTTGGGCTCATAACCCAAAGGTCGTTGGATCGAGACCAACAAGTGCTATCCTTATCCATGGACTCTCTGCATCGCTTGTCTCTGTTAAAACTCGTGTAGTCTGACTGCCCGACCGATTGATGCATCGGGTAGTATTGGAGTATTCATTCGAGACCGAAAACAGCTGCATCAAACGTGTCAGCACGCAGCGTTATTGTACAGCAGCCTAAGCATCTGGTCTCATTGCAGTCGGTCGAATGTTAAGAATGACACGGTTGCACCTGTAAGGCTTCAGTCACATCCGGTTGTGATCATGAGAACTTAAGATGTGAATAGAGCGTGCTTCGTTGCCTGATCTTCGAGCATAGTTGTGGTAGTTTCATTGTGACGAGCAGCACATCTGACAATCGAAGCAGCTGTGCGGTCCGATATTTCAAGTGACCATATCTTTGAAACGAGGAGTCCGTAGAAAGTATAAATGGCTGTTCTGTAGAGAGGGTGTCTATGCGGTTCATTGTAGTGTGCTAGGTTTGCTGTATCAGCTGTTTGATGTGTCAGTGGGAAGTGACTCGCTCGAGATAGCACTTTGGCGTAGAGGAAGCGTGTTGGGCTCATAACCCAAAGGTCGTTGGATCGAGACCAACAAGTGCTATCTTTATCCATGGACTCTCTGCATCGCTTGTCTCTGTTAAAACTCGTGTAGTCTGACTGCCCGACCGATTGATGCATCGGGTAGTATTGGAGTATTCATTCGAGACCGAAAACAGCTGCATCAAACGTGTCAGCACGCAGCGTTATTGTACAGCAGCCTAAGCATCTGGTCTCATTGCAGTCGGTCGAATGTTAAGAATGACACGGTCGCACCAGTAAGGCTTCAGTCACATCCGGTTGTGATCATGAGAACTTAAGATGTGAATAGAGCGTGCTTCGTTGCCTGATCTTCGAGCATAGTTGTGGTAGTTTCATTGTGACGAGCAGCACATCTGACAATCGAAGCAGCTGTGCGGTCCGATATTTCAAGTGACCATATCTTTGTAACGAGGAGTCCGTAGAAAGTATAAATGGCTGTTATGTAGAGAGGGTGTCTATGCGGTTCATTGTAGTGTGCTAGGTTTGCTGTATCAGCTGTTTGATGTGTCAGTGGGAAGTGACTCGCTCGAGCTAGCACTTTGGCGTAGAGGAAGCGTGTTGGGCTCATAACCCAAAGTCGTTGGATCGAGACCAACAAGTGCTATCCTTATCCATGGACTCTCTGCATCGCTTGTCTCTGTTAAAACTCGTGTAGTCTGACTGCCCGACCGATTGATGCATCGGGTAGTATTGGAGTATTCATTCGAGACCGAAAACAGCTGCATCAAACGTGTCAGCACGCAGCGTTATTGTACAGCAGCCTAAGCATCTGGTCTCATTGCAGTCGGTCGAATGTTAAGAATGACACGGTTGCACCTGTAAGGCTTCAGTCACATCCGGTTGTGATCATGAGAACTTAAGATGTGAATAGAGCGTGCTTCGTTGCCTGATCTTCGAGCATAGTTGTGGTAGTTTCATTGTGACGAGCAGCACATCTGACAATCGAAGCAGCTGTGCGGTCCGATATTTCAAGTGACCATATCTTTGAAACGAGGAGTCCGTAGAAAGTATAAATGGCTGTTCTGTAGAGAGGGTGTCTATGCGGTTCATTGTAGTGTGCTAGGTTTGCTGTATCAGCTGTTTGATGTGTCAGTGGGAAGTGACTCGCTCGAGATAGCACTTTGGCGTAGAGGAAGCGTGTTGGGCTCATAACCCAAAGGTCGTTGGATCGAGACCAACAAGTGCTATCCTTATCCATGGACTCTCTGCATCGCTTTTCTCTATTAAAACTCGTGTAGTCTGACTGCCCGACCGATTGATGCATCGGGTAGTATTGGAGTATTCATTCGAGACCGAAAACAGCTGCATCAAACGTGTCAGCATGCAGCGTTATTGTACAGCAGCCTAAGCATCTGGTCTCATTGCAGTCGGTCGAATGTTAAGAATGACACGGTTGCACCAGTAAGACTTCAGTCACATCCGGTTGTGATCATGAGAACTTAAGATGTGAATAGAGCGTGCTTCGTTGCCTGATCTTCGAGCATAGTTGTGGTAGTTTCATTGTGACGAGCAGCACATCTGACAAACGAAGCAGCTGTGCGGTCCGATATTTCAAGTGACCATATCTGTGAAACGAGGAGTCTGTAGAAAGTATAAATGGCTGTTCTGTAGAGAGGGTGTCGATGCGGTTCATTGTAGTGTGCTAGGTCTGCTGTACCAGCTGTTTGATGTGTCAGTGGGAAGTGACTCGCTCGAGCTAGCACTTTGTCGCAGAGGAAGCGTGTTGGGCTCATAACCCAAAGTCGTTGGATCGAGACCAACAAGTGCTATCCTTATCCATGGACTCTCTGCATCGCTTTTCTCTATTAAAACTCGTGTAGTCTGACTGCCCGACCGATTGATGCATCGGGTAGTATTGGAGTATTCATTCGAGACCGAAAACAGCTACATCAAACGTGTCAGCACGCAGCGTTATTGTACAGCAGCCTAAGCATCTGGTCTCATTGCAGTCGGTCGAATGTTAAGAATGACACGGTTGCACCAGTAAGACTTCAGTCACATCCGGTTGTGATCATGAGAACTTAAGATGTGAATAGAGCGTGCTTCGTTGCCTGATCTTCGAGCATAGTTGTGGTAGTTTCATTGTGACGAGCAGCACATCTGACAAACGAAGCAGCTGTGCGGTCCGATATTTCAAGTGACCATATCTGTGAAACGAGGAGTCTGTAGAAAGTATAAATGGCTGTTCTGTAGAGAGGGTGTCGATGCGGTTCATTGTAGTGTGCTTGGTCTGCTGTACCAGCTGTTTGATGTGTCAGTGGGAAGTGACTCGCTCGAGCTAGCACTTTGTCGCAGAGGAAGCGTGTTGGGCTCATAACCCAAAGTCGTTGGATCGAGACCAACAAGTGCTATCCTTATCCATGGACTCTCTGCATCGCTTTTCTCTATTAAAACTCGTGTAGTCTGACTGCCCGACCGATTGATGCATCGGGTAGTATTGGAGTATTCATTCGAGACCGAAAACAGCTGCATCAAACGTGTCAGCATGCAGCGTTATTGTACAGCGGCCTAAGCATCTGGTCTCATTGCAGTCGGTCGAATGTTAAGAATGACACGGTTGCACCAGTAAGGCTTCAGTCACATCCGGTTGTGATCATGAGAACTTAAGATGTGAATAGAGCGTGCTTCGTTGCCTGATCTTCGAGCATAGTTGTGGTAGTTTCATTGTGACGAGCAGCACATCTGACAATCGAAGCAGCTGTGCGGTCCGATATTTCAAGTGACCATATCTGTGAAACGAGGAGTCCGTAGAAAGTATAAATGGCTGTTCTGTAGAGAGGGTGTCTATGCGGTTCATTGTAGTGTGTTAGGTTGCTGTATCAGCTGTTTGATGTGTCAGTGGGAAGTGACTCGCTCGAGCTAGCACTTTGGCGCAGAGGAAGCGTGTTGTGCTCATAACCCAAAGGTCGTTGGATCGAGACCAACAAGTGCTATCCTTATCCATGGACTCTCTCCATCGCTTGTCTCTGTTAAAACTCGTGTAGTCTGACTGCCCGACCGATTGATGCATCGGGTAGTATTGGAGTATTCATTCGAGACCGAAAACAGCTGCATCAAACGTGTCAGCATGCAGCGTTATTGTACAGCGGCCTAAGCATCTGGTCTCATTGCAGTCGGTCGAATGTTAAGAATGACACGGTTGCACCAGTAAGACTTCAGTCACATCCGGTTGTGATCATGAGAACTTAAGATGTGAATAGAGCGTGCTTCGTTGCCTGATCTTCGAGCATAGTTGTGGTAGTTTCATTGTGACGAGCAGCACATCTGACAATCGAAGCAGCTATGCGGTCCGATATTTCAAGTGACCATATCTTTGAAACGAGGAGTCCGTAGAAAGTATAAATGGCTGTTCTGTAGAGAGGGTGTCTATGCGGTTCATTGTAGTGTGCTAGGTTTGCTGTATCAGCTGTTTGATGTGTCAGTGGGAAGTGACTCACTCGAGCTAGCACTTTGGCGCAGAGGAAGCGTGTTGGGCTCATAATCCAAAGGTCGTTGGATCGAGACCAACAAGTGCTATCCTTATCCACGGACTCTATGCATCGCTTGTCTCTGTTAAAACTCGTGTAGTCTGACTGCCCGACCGATTGATGCATCGGGTAGTATTGGAGTATTCATTCGAGACCGAAAACAGCTGCATCAAACGTGTCAGCACGCAGCGTTATTGTACAGCGGCCTAAGCATCTGGTCTCATTGCAGTCGGTCGAATGTTAAGAATGACACGGTCGCACCAGTAAGGCTTCAGTCACATCCGGTTGTGATCATGAGAACTTAAGATGTGAATAGAGCGTGCTTCGTTGCCTGATCTTCGAGCATAGTTGTGGTAGTTTCTGTTAGAATTAACTAGGTTGTGGAGCTGATGCTGAGAAGAAGATGGCTTACGGCCGGGGATGAAAACCGAAAAGTGAGTTGTATTCAAATTGTTCCTAGCTTCGAAAACGAATGGCTAGTAGTAGCCGGTGACTCTCAGCCACCTATTTCGTGCCCTGTCTCCACCGCTTTCTGTTTTACCTATCCCTGGGTAATTACGTCTCGTAAATACCTTTCGTAAAAACTCTGCTGTGTCATATGCTGAATGAAAACGATTGCGTGGGTGGGGGACGTAACTGCGGGCGGGTCACAGTTCTGGTGAACCCCAAAACACCAGGTCGTGAGTGTCAGTCACAATTAACTTGTACACGGCGGGGATCGAACCCGCACTCACCCGCGTGGAATCCCCCTTCCCAAACGACTGAGCCAATCCGATGACTTGTCGTTTCGCTAACATCCCACAATATAAACCTGCCAAAGAACAATACAACTAATGCAAATATGCAATATACACCCTGCACCAGTCGCCGCATCATCACTCGCTAACACTCTCCCTTGATGTGCGTGCGACGTGTGACCCCTACACCGCCATGCACAGACCCGTGATGAACTTGCTGTGCTTGTCTCTTGGAAGTGCTTTGGTGAATCCATCCGCGACCATTTCTTCTGTCGGCTTGAACTCTAGCGCGATAACTGCACTTGCAACCTTTTCACGCAAAAAGTGAAACTTGATGTCGATGTGCTTCGTGCGCGAGTGGTACACAGGATTCTTGGCCAGCGCGATGCAACCTTGATTGTCTTGAAAAATCGTCGTCGCGTTCTTGGCACAGTAGTTCAGGTCCTTGAGCAGACCTCGAAGCCAAATTGCTTCCTGCGTCGCGCTGTACAGACTCATGTACTCTGCTTCCGTACTTGAGGTCGCGACCGTTGGTTGACGCTTCGAGTTCCACGATATCACGCTTCCGTTCAGGAAGAAAACGTATCCTGTTGTCGAACGCCGCGTGTCGAGGTCGCCAGCCCAGTTTGCATCCGCAAATCCAATCAGCTCTCCCTTGTTGATGCCGCTGAAAACGATGCTTAAGTCTTGAGTCGTCTTGAGATACTTGAGAATCCGCTTTGCTGCTGTCCAATGCGACTTGTCGTAGCGCTCGCAAAACTTCGCAACTTCGCCAACCGCATGCGCAATGTCCGGTCGTGTACATGTGGCGATGTACATTAAAGCGCCCACCAGCTCACGGTATGGGTACTTTGGTACAAACGCTTCCTCTTGACCCATCTTGATCAGCTTCGAATTACTGTCCGCCGGCGTGTGCATGTCCTTGCAGTTCTCAACGCCGAACTTCTCCGAAAGTCGCTTGATGTACGCCTTCTGGTTCATCTTGATCGTTCCATCTTCGCGCTTGCGATGAATCTCGATCCCGAGGCAGTACTTGAGATCTCCAAGATCTTTAATGCTGAAATCTTCCATCAATGAGTTCTTGATACTTGCGATGTGCTCCTTCGTCTTGCAGAAAATCATCAAGTCGTCCACGTAGATCACGATGATGCTGTACTCCTCTCTTGTCACTCGAACGAACACACACGGGTCCGCTGTACTGCTCTTGAATCCTTGATCAACCAAGTGCTGACTCAACTTGTTGTTCCACTGCCGCGCCGCTTGCTTCGTCCCGTATAGCGCCTTCTGCAGCAAACACTTCTTATTCGGGCTTCCTTCATCTTCAAAACCGTCAGGTTGGTCCATGTAGATCTCCTCTTCCACTTCGCCGTAGAGAAACGCTGTGTCGACATCAACGTTTTCTGCTTCCAGGTCTTCGGCTGCAGCGATCGCCAACACTGTGTTGATAGATTCCTTGCGCGCCACTGGTGCGAAGGTCTCGTTATAGTCGATGCCAGGACGCTGCGTGAACCCTTTCGCAACCAAGCGTGCCTTGAACTTGATGATCTCGCCACTTGGATCGCGTTTAATCTTGAAGACCCACTTGCAGCCAACGGCCTTCTTGCCCGGTGGCATGTCCATTAGCTTCCATGTGCTGTGTTCTTCAAGCGACTTCATCTCACTCTTCATTGCCTGGAGCCACTGCTCCTTGTAGCCGCTCTTCATCACTTCTCGATAGCTGGACGCTTGTTCCCCATCTTCTTCAGCCGAGAAACAGTAGAAAGAGTCGAAGTCACCTTCGTAGTCGTCCAAATTGAAGCGACCGCGACGATGGCTTGGAAATTCTTGTTCGTAGCGAACCACGCCGCGCTTCTTTCGAACCGGTCGCACCATCCACTCTTCTTCTCCATTTCTTCCGGGTGTGCTGGATGCGCGCGTAGGAATGGTGTCGCTTGGTCAAACACTTGGTCCGTGATGAGAGCTGTTCTGCGCTCGAAGTGGTGGGGTGCGCAGCTCTTCTTCGGTCACCGGCGCTGGTATGTCTTCATCATCGGTTAGCGACGCCTCCACACTTTCATCTTCTTCAATGACATCGAAGACCTGCGTGTCTCTGCTTTTCGATGCTTTCGTGACAGAATGCTCAGCGAACGTGACGCTTCTTGAAATCACGATCGAGCCATCGTCCGCGTTGAGAAGCCGATACGCCTTTTGGTCCTTCTCATAGCCGAGAAAGAAACATCGCACGCCTGAGTCGTCCAGCTTCTTTCTCTTCTCCTTCGCCACATGCGCATAGCATTGCGCACCAAACACGCGCATGTGATCGATGCGCGGAACCTTCTTGAACACCATTTCGTGTGGGCTTGAGTTCTTGTTCGACGCGTTCGGCAGAATGTTTCTGATGTCTGCCGCTGTCATTAGTGCCTCGCACCAATAGGACTTGTCGAGGCCGCTTTCCTTGAGCATACAGCGCGTCATCTCCACCAGCGTGCGGTTCATCCGCTCCGCCATCCCGTTCTGCTCTGGATTGTACGGAACCGTGAACTCTTGCTTAATGAACTTTGCCTTGCAAAAGCTGTTCATCGTTTCGTTCCGGTATTCGCCGCCGTTGTCACTTCGCAACACCTTTATCTTCGTTCCAGATGTTGTCTTGACATCTTGGTAAAACCGCTCGAATGCACTCGCAACGTCGCTCTTCTTTCGCAACGGATAGACCGTTACATACCTGCTCTTCATCAGGATGAAGGTTACGGCGTAACTGAAACCAGACTTGGACGCTGGCGTGATAGGTCCGAGAACGTCGGAGCACACCACCACGTCGGAACGCGAACTCTCCCTGGTTTCAGCGTCTTCTTCACTTGTCTTGAATGACTTGCGCACTTGCTTTGACGTTGCGCATACGTCACACGCAACGTTCGTCTTCATCGTTGCGCCCTTGATCCTTCCGTCCTTGACCGTGGCATTCAGCGTACCATACGACACGTGACCCAGTCTTCTATGCCACAGCTCTGTATCGTCTTCGGCCATGTGGCACTCCGTACCATAGTCAGCGTTTAGATACAGTAGGAACCCCTGCTTCCTTCCTGTTGCGACGGGTGTGCCGCCACGCTTGACCACGCACTCGTTGCGCGTTATCTCCACTGTCATGCCGCGCGCTGCCGCAGCCGTGAGCGAAAATAGGTTCTTGGACAAATCTTGAACGTGAAGTGTGTTCTCAAGGCGAGCGTCGATCCACGCATGCCCTGTCCAGACGCGCAGCTTCACTGTCCCATGTCCGATGACATTCAGCTTCACGTTGCTCTTTGCGCTTGAAATGCTTCGCGCATGATGCACTTCTTCGTACTCTTCGAACGCATCTCGATCCTTGCACATGTGTGCTGACGCGCCACTGTCCATGACCCAGCTGTCGCTCGCGAAACCTTCGCTGGCATGAAACGCGACATTCGACTGGTCATGCTGTTGCTCCCTTGGCCCTCGACCGGAGCGACAATCTCTTGCGTAGTGTCCGACCTTGCCACAGTTGTAGCAGGTTCCTGATGGTCCTTTCGCGCGCCGTACTTGTTGCTTCTTCGGGTACTGCTTACCCTTCCTCTTGCCTGCGTAGAGCGCCGTCGCATCTTCTACCCGTGCAGCCTCATTCTGGCGCACTTCTTCAGCGATCAACTTGCTCACGAGGTCACTGAAACTGAAACTTGCGACGGACATGCGGAATGCCTGTACCAAGCTCTCGAAGCTTGCAGGTAGACTCCGCAACAGTACTGCGCACACGTCCTCTTCGCTTGGACCGCAGTTCGCGCGCTTCATCTTCATCACGAGGTCCTCCAGCTCCATCACATGACCACTCATGCTTGATGCTGCATACTTGAACGAGGCGAATTTTTCCTTCAGCCAAAGTCGATTCGCCATGTCATGACTGTGATGAAATCGCGCCAGACGTCCCCACGCTTCTCTTGCAGTGGCCGAGTCGATGACATGCATCAACTGCGAATCGCTCAGATTCAGCACGATCGCGGCGTGGGCTTGCTGTTCCTTGGCCTCACTTGTTGTCTCATCGCCCGCGATCGCGCCCCACAGCCCCTTCGACATCAGGTACATCTTCATCTTGTAACTCCACAACCCATAGTTCGAGCCGTCGAAAGGCTCGACCTTGAAACCGGAGTCGTTACTTGGGCTCATAACCTGTTAGAATTAACTAGGTTGTGGAGCTGATGCTGAGAAGAAGATGGCTTACGGCCGGGGATGAAAACCGAAAAGTGAGTTGTATTCAAATTGTTCCTAGCTTCGAAAACGAATGGCTAGTAGTAGCCGGTGACTCTCAGCCACCTATTTCGTGCCCTGTCTCCACCGCTTTCTGTTTTACCTATCCCTGGGTAATTACGTCTCGTAAATACCTTTCGTAAAAACTCTGCTGTGTCATATGCTGAATGAAAACGATTGCGTGGGTGGGGGACGTAACTGCGGGCGGGTCACAGTTCTGGTGAACCCCAAAACACCAGGTCGTGAGTGTCAGTCACAATTAACTTGTACACGGCGGGGATCGAACCCGCACTCACCCGCGTGGAATCCCCCTTCCCAAACGACTGAGCCAATCCGATGACTTGTCGTTTCGCTAACATCCCACAATATAAACCTGCCAAAGAACAATACAACTAATGCAAATATGCAATATACACCCTGCACAAGTCGCCGCATCATCACTCGCTAACACTCTCCCTTGATGTGCGTGCGACGTGTGACCCCTACACCGCCATGCACAGACCCGTGATGAACTTGCTGTGCTTGTCTCTTGGAAGTGCTTTGGTGAATCCATCCGCGACCATTTCTTCTGTCGGCTTGAACTCTAGCGCGATAACTGCACTTGCAACCTTTTCACGCAAAAAGTGAAACTTGATGTCGATGTGCTTCGTGCGCGAGTGGTACACAGGATTCTTGGCCAGCGCGATGCAACCTTGATTGTCTTGAAAAATCGTCGTCGCGTTCTTGGCACAGTAGTTCAGGTCCTTGAGCAGACCTCGAAGCCAAATTGCTTCCTGCGTCGCGCTGTACAGACTCATGTACTCTGCTTCCGTACTTGAGGTCGCGACCGTTGGTTGACGCTTCGAGTTCCACGATATCACGCTTCCGTTCAGGAAGAAAACGTATCCTGTTGTCGAACGCCGCGTGTCGAGGTCGCCAGCCCAGTTTGCATCCGCAAATCCAATCAGCTCTCCCTTGTTGATGCCGCTGAAAACGATGCTTAAGTCTTGAGTCGTCTTGAGATACTTGAGAATCCGCTTTGCTGCTGTCCAATGCGACTTGTCGTAGCGCTCGCAAAACTTCGCAACTTCGCCAACCGCATGCGCAATGTCCGGTCGTGTACATGTGGCGATGTACATTAAAGCGCCCACCAGCTCACGGTATGGGTACTTTGGTACAAACGCTTCCTCTTGACCCATCTTGATCAGCTTCGAATTACTGTCCGCCGGCGTGTGCATGTCCTTGCAGTTCTCAACGCCGAACTTCTCCGAAAGTCGCTTGATGTACGCCTTCTGGTTCATCTTGATCGTTCCATCTTCGCGCTTGCGATGAATCTCGATCCCGAGGCAGTACTTGAGATCTCCAAGATCTTTAATGCTGAAATCTTCCATCAATGAGTTCTTGATACTTGCGATGTGCTCCTTCGTCTTGCAGAAAATCATCAAGTCGTCCACGTAGATCACGATGATGCTGTACTCCTCTCTTGTCACTCGAACGAACACACACGGGTCCGCTGCACTGCTCTTGAATCCTTGATCAACCAAGTGCTGACTCAACTTGTTGTTCCACTGCCGCGCCGCTTGCTTCGTCCCGTATAGCGCCTTCTGCAGCAAACACTTCTTATTCGGGCTTCCTTCATCTTCAAAACCGTCAGGTTGGTCCATGTAGATCTCCTCTTCCACTTCGCCGTAGAGAAACGCTGTGTCGACATCAACGTTTTCTGCTTCCAGGTCTTCGGCTGCAGCGATCGCCAACACTGTGTTGATAGATTCCTTGCGCGCCACTGGTGCGAAGGTCTCGTTATAGTCGATGCCAGGACGCTGCGTGAACCCTTTCGCAACCAAGCGTGCCTTGAACTTGATGATCTCGCCACTTGGATCGCGTTTAATCTTGAAGACCCACTTGCAGCCAACGGCCTTCTTGCCCGGTGGCATGTCCATTAGCTTCCATGTGCTGTGTTCTTCAAGCGACTTCATCTCACTCTTCATTGCCTGGAGCCACTGCTCCTTGTAGCCGCTCTTCATCACTTCTCGATAGCTGGACGCTTGTTCCCCATCTTCTTCAGCCGAGAAACAGTAGAAAGAGTCGAAGTCACCTTCGTAGTCGTCCAAATTGAAGCGACCGCGACGATGGCTTGGAAATTCTTGTTCGTAGCGAACCACGCCGCGCTTCTTTCGAACCGGTCGCACCATCCACTCTTCTTCTCCATTTCTTCCGGGTGTGCTGGATGCGCGCGTAGGAATGGTGTCGCTTGGTCGAACACTTGGTCCGTGATGAGAGCTGTTCTGCGCTCGAAGTGGTGGGGTGCGCAGCTCTTCTTCGGTCACCGGCGCTGGTATGTCTTCATCATCGGTTAGCGACGCCTCCACACTTTCATCTTCTTCAATGACATCGAAGACCTGCGTGTCTCTGCTTTTCGATGCTTTCGTGACAGAATGCTCAGCGAACGTGACGCTTCTTGAAATCACGATCGAGCCATCGTCCGCGTTGAGAAGCCGATACGCCTTTTGGTCCTTCTCATAGCCGAGAAAGAAACATCGCACGCCTGAGTCGTCCAGCTTCTTTCTCTTCTCCTTCGCCACATGCGCATAGCATTGCGCACCAAACACGCGCATGTGATCGATGCGCGGAACCTTCTTGAACACCATTTCGTGTGGGCTTGAGTTCTTGTTCGACGCGTTCGGCAGAATGTTTCTGATGTCTGCCGCTGTCATTAGTGCCTCGCACCAATAGGACTTGTCGAGGCCGCTTTCCTTGAGCATACAGCGCGTCATCTCCACCAGCGTGCGGTTCATCCGCTCCGCCATCCCGTTCTGCTCTGGATTGTACGGAACCGTGAACTCTTGCTTAATGAACTTTGCCTTGCAAAAGCTGTTCATCGTTTCGTTCCGGTATTCGCCGCCGTTGTCACTTCGCAACACCTTTATCTTCGTTCCAGATGTTGTCTTGACATCTTGGTAAAACCGCTCGAACGCACTCGCAACGTCGCTCTTCTTTCGCAACGGATAGACCGTTACATACCTGCTCTTCATCATGATGAAGGTTACGGCGTAACTGAAACCAGACTTGGACGCTGGCGTGATAGGTCCGAGAACGTCGGAGCACACCACCACGTCGGAACGCGAACTCTCCCTGGTTTCAGCGTCTTCTTCACTTGTCTTGAATGACTTGCGCACTTGCTTTGACGTTGCGCATACGTCACACGCAACGTTCGTCTTCATCGTTGCGCCCTTGATCCTTCCGTCCTTGACCATGGCATTCAGCGTACCATACGACACGTGACCCAGTCTTCTATGCCATAGCTCTGTATCGTCTTCGGCCATGTGGCACTCCGTACCATAGTCAGCATTGAGATACAGGAGGAACCCCCTGCTTCCTTCCTGTTGCGACGGGTGTGCCGCCACGCTTGACCACGCACTCGTTGCGCGTTATCTCCACTGTCATGCCGCGCGCTGCCGCAGCCGTGAGCGAAAACAGGTTCTTGGACAAATCTTGAACGTGAAGTGTGTTCTCAAGGCGAGCGTCGATCCACGCATGTCCTGTCCAGACGCGCAGCTTCACTGTCCCATGTCCAATGACATTCAGCTTCACGTCGCTCTTTGCGCTTGAAATGCTTCGCGCATGATGCACTTCTTCGTACTCTTCGAACGCATCTCGATCCTTGCACATGTGTGCTGACGCGCCACTGTCCATGACCCAGCTGTTGCTCGCGAAACCTTCGCTGGCATGAAACGCGACATTCGACTGGTCATGCTGTTGCTCCCTTGGCCCTCGACCGGAGCGACAATCTCTTGCGTAGTGTCCGACCTTGCCACAGTTGTAGCAGGTTCCTGATGGTCCTTTCGCGCGCCGTACTTGTTGCTTCTTCGGGTACTGCTTACCCTTCCTCTTGCCTGCGTAGAGCGCCGTCGCATCTTCTACCCGTGCAGCCTCATTCTGGCGCACTTCTTCAGCGATCAACTTGCTCACGAGGTCACTGAAACTGAAACTTGCGACGGACATGCGGAATGCCTGTACCAAGCTCTCGAAGCTTGCAGGTAGACTCCGCAACAGTACTGCGCACACGTCCTCTTCGCTTGGACCGCAGTTCGCGCGCTTCATCTTCATCACGAGGTCCTCCAGCTCCATCACATGACCACTCATGCTTGATGCTGCATACTTGAACGAGGCGAATTTTTCCTTCAGCCAAAGTCGATTCGCCATGTCATGACTGTGATGAAATCGCGCCAGACGTCCCCACGCTTCTCTTGCAGTGGCCGAGTCGATGACATGCATCAACTGCGAATCGCTCAGATTCAGCACGATCGCGGCGTGGGCTTGCTGTTCCTTGGCCTCACTTGTTGTCTCATCGCCCGCGATCGCGCCCCACAGCCCCTTCGACATCAGGTACATCTTCATCTTGTAACTCCACAACCCATAGTTCGAGCCGTCGAAAGGCTCGACCTTGAAACCGGAGTCGTTACTTGGGCTCATAACCTGTTAGAATTAACTAGGTTGTGGAGCTGATGCTGAGAAGAAGATGGCTTACGGCCGGGGATGAAAACCGAAAAGTGAGTTGTATTCAAATTGTTCCTAGCTTCGAAAACGAATGGCTAGTAGTAGCCGGTGACTCTCAGCCACCTATTTCGTGCCCTGTCTCCACCGCTTTCTGTTTTACCTATCCCTGGGTAATTACGTCTCGTAAATACCTTTCGTAAAAACTCTGCTGTGTCATATGCTGAATGAAAACGATTGCGTGGGTGGGGGACGTAACTGCGGGCGGGTCACAGTTCTGGTGAACCCCAAACACCAGGTCGTGAATGTCAGTCACAATTAACTTGTACACGGCGGGGATCGAACCCGCACTCACCCGCGTGGAATCCCCCTTCCCAAACGACTGAGCCAATCCGATGACTTGTCGTTTCGCTAACATCCCACAATATAAACCTGCCAAAGAACAATACAACTAATGCAAATATGCAATATACACCCTGCACCAGTCGCCGCATCATCACTCGCTAACAGTTTCATTGTGACGAGCAGCATATCTGACAATCGAAGCAGCTGTGCGGTCCGATATTTCAAGTGACCATATCTTTGTAACGAGGAGTCCGTAGAAAGTACGGATGGCTGTTCTGTAGAGAGGGTGTCTATGCGGTTCATTGTAGTGTGCTAGGTTTGCTGTATCAGCTGTTTGATGTGTCAGTGGGAAGTGACTCGCTCGAGCTAGCACTTTGGCGCAGAGGAAGCGTGTTGGGCTCATAACCCAAAGGTCGTTGGATCGAGACCAACAAGTGCTATCCTTATCCACGGACTCTCTGCATCGCTTGTCTCTGATAAGACTCGTGTAGTCTGACTGCCCTACCGATTGATGCATCGGGTAGTATTGGAGTATCCATTCGAGACCGAAAACAGCTGCATCAAACGTGTCAGCATGCAGCGTTATTGTACAGCGGCCTAAGCATCTGGTCTCATTGCAGTCGGTCGAATGTTAAGAATGACACGGTTGCACCAGTAAGACTTCAGTCACATCCGGTTGTGATCATGAGAACTTAAGATGTGAATAGAGCGTGCTTCGTTGCCTGATCTTCGAGCATAGTTGTGGTAGTTTCATTGTGACGAGCAGCACATCTGACAATCGAAGCAGCTATGCGGTCCGATATTTCAAGTGACCATATCTTTGTAACGAGGAGTCCGTAGAAAGTATAAATGGCTGTTCTGTAGAGAGGGTGTCTATGCGGTTCATTGTAGTGTGCTAGGTCTGCTGTATCCGCTGTTTGATGTTTCAGTGGGAAGTGACTCGCTCGAGCTAGCACTTTGTCGCAGAGGAAGCGTGTTGGGCTCATAACCCAAAGGTCGTTGGATCGAGACCAACAAGTGCTATCCTTATCCACGGACTCTCTGCATCGCTTGTCTCTGATAAAACTCGTGTAGTCTGACTGCCCGACCGATTGATGCATCGGGTAGTATTGGAGTATTCATTCGAGACCGAAAACAGCTGCATCAAACGTGTCAGCACGCAGCGTTATTGTACAGCGGCCTAAGCATCTGGTCTCATTGCAGTCGGTCGAATGTTAAGAATGACACGGTTGTACCAGTAAGACTTCAGTCACATCCGGTTGTGATCATGAGAACTTAAGACGTGAATAGAGCGTGCTTCGTTGCCTGATCTTCGAGCATAGTTGTGGTAGTTTCATTGTGACGAGCAGCACATCTGACAATCGAAGCAGCTGTGCGGTCCGATATTTCAAGTGACCATATCTTTGAAACGAGGAGTCCGTAGAAAGTATAAATGGCTGTTCTGTAGAGAGGGTGTCTATGCGGTTCATTGTAGTGTGCTAGGTCTGCTGTATCCGCTGTTTGATGTTTCAGTGGGAAGTGACACGCTCGAGCTAGCACTTTGTCGCAGAGGAAGCGTGTTGGGCTCATTACCCAAAGGTCGTTGGATCGAGACCAACAAGTGCTATCCTTATCCACGGACTCTATGCATCGCTTGTCTCTGTTAAAACTCGTGTAGTCTGACTGCCCGACCGATTGATGCATCGGGTAGTATTGGAGTATTCACTCGAGACCGAAAACAGCTGCATCAAACGTGTCAGCACGCAGCGTTATTGTACAGCGGCCTAAGCATCTGGTCTCATTGCAGTCGGTCGAATGTTGAGAATGACACGGTTGCACCAGTAAGACTTCAGTCACATCCGGTTGTGATCATGAGAACTTAAGACGTGAATAGAGCGTGCTTCGTTTTCTGATCTTCGAGCATAGTTGTGGTAGTTTCATTGTGACGAGCAGCACATCTGACAATCGAAGCAGCTGTGCGGTCCGATATTTCAAGTGACCATATCTTTGAAACGAGGAGTCCGTAGAAAGTATAAATGGCTGTTCTGTAGAGAGGGTGTCTATGCGGTTCATTGTAGTGTGCTAGGTTTGCTGTATCAGCTGTTTGATGTGTCAGTGGGAAGTGACTCGCTCGAGCTAGCACTTTGGCGCAGAGGAAGCGTGTTGGGCTCATAACCCAAAGGTCGTTGGATCGAGACCAACAAGTGCTATCCTTAATGGACTCTCTGCATCGCTTTTCTCTATTAAAACTCGTGTAGTCTGACTGCCCGACCGATTGATGCATCGGGTAGTATTGGAGTATTCATTCGAGACCGAAAACAGCTGCATCAAACGTGTCAGCATGCAGCGTTATTGTACAGCGGCCTAAGCATCTGGTCTCATTGCAGTCGGTCGAATGTTAAGAATGACACGGTTGCACCAGTAAGACTTCAGTCACATCCGGTTGTGATCATGAGAACTTAAGATGTGAATAGAGCGTGCTTCGTTGCCTGATCTTCGAGCATAGTTGTGGTAGTTTCATTGTGACGAGCAGCACATCTGACAATCGAAGCAGCTGTGCGGTCCGATATTTCAAGTGACCATATCTGTGAAACGAGGAGTCTGTAGAAAGTATAAATGGCTGTTCTGTAGAGAGGGTGTCTATGCGGTTCATTGTAGTGTGCTTGGTCTGCTGTACCAGCTGTTTGATGTGTCAGTGGGAAGTGACTCGCTCGAGCTAGCACTTTGTCGCAGAGGAAGCGTGTTGGGCTCATAACCCAAAGTCGTTGGATCGAGACCAACAAGTGCTATCCTTATCCATGGACTCTCTGCATCGCTTTTCTCTATTAAAACTCGTGTAGTCTGACTGCCCGACCGATTGATGCATCGGGTAGTATTGGAGTATTCATTCGAGACCGAAAACAGCTACATCAAACGTGTCAGCACGCAGCGTTATTGTACAGCAGCCTAAGCATCTGGTCTCATTGCAGTCGGTCGAATGTTAAGAATGACACGGTTGCACCAGTAAGGCTTCAGTCACATCCGGTTGTGATCATGAGAACTTAAGATGTGAATAGATCGTGCTTCGTTGCCTGATCTTCGAGCATAGTTGTGGTAGTTTCATTGTGACGAGCAGCACATCTGACAATCGAAGCAGCTATGCGGTCCGATATTTCAAGTGACCATATCTTTGAAACGAGGAGTCCGTAGAAAGTATAAATGGCTGTTCTGTAGAGAGGGTGTCTATGCGGTTCATTGTAGTGTGCTTGGTCTGCTGTACCAGCTGTTTGATGTGTCAGTGGGAAGTGACTCGCTCGAGCTAGCACTTTGGCGCAGAGGAAGCGTGTTGGGCTCATAACCCAAAGGTGGTTGGATCGAGACCATCAAGTGCTATCCTTATCCATGGACTCTCTGCATCGCTTTTCTCTATTAAAACTCGTGTAGTCTGACTGCCCGACCGATTGATGCATCGGGTAGTATTGGAGTATTCATTCGAGACCGAAAACAGCTGCATCAAACGTGTCAG